GTGAGATTTTGGGGAGGTTGGGGAAGAAGAGTTTGTTGTGATTTTGCAAATTGAAAAGTTTTTCTTGATGTTGTAGAATAGTTTCAAAATTGAGAAATATTTGTCTTGAAGTTTTGGAAATCTACGAGATTTAATTAAATGTTATTAACCTATAAAAAATCGAATCCACATCTTTACTAGATTTATTTTAGATCCATCTACTTCAACAATATTCTAGTTCATAGTCTTAAATTCTAGTCTATAGACTCAAAATTCTAGTCCTTAAACTTAGATTCTTATCCAAAGAGTTAGATTCCAGTCCATAAACTAAGATATAATCAAAAACAAACTGAATCTATAAATCATTCACAAATGAATGTTCAATTCCCATTGAAAATCAGCAAGAATCTCAAAGTTCAAGTTACAAGCTAATTATCCAAGCTCTAATGTCAAATTCCCATCTGAATAATTTGATAACATTTCTAAAATTCATAATTGAAGTCTCTTGTCATTAAATATCCTTTTAGAATCTCTCAAAGGCATTAATTAAGAACGTGATAATCATGTTCTCATGAATTAAAATTCCATATGGAAATTAAAAACAATTAAATTCTCACAATTGTGCACCCTTGGAAAAAGCTTTACAATGTCCGTTGTAATTTTGTACATTATCTTAAAGTTTGTCTTTGCATTTCTTTATTCCTTTGTCTTTATGTCATTGTCATAAATATTTATCAACACATTTGAAAACAAAAGCATGAAAAACTTTCTTTCCTTTTTAATTTTCAAATAGAGACGGAATGGGTTGAGGAACCCATTGAAAGAATAAGATGTTAATTTATGCTGTCTTCTCATTCTCTTGTGTACGCTTCCACATATATCATTTTATGTTATAATAAGCATTTTGTGTTTGAATATGTGAAAAATGAGGGGAAAAACTGTTTAAAAATTGTGATTTATGAAGGGGGTAGAAGCTTCGTTGGTTGTGGATTGGCCTACTTTGCTTCGTGAAATCAGAGAATATGATTTTAAGCTTATTTTGGTCCTTGAATTGGTTTTTGAATCAAATTTTGAGGTTCAAAATTTTTTTCAACTATTTTTTTTGAATTTCAAAAAGTCGTTAAGTTGAAAATTGACTTTATTGCAACTTTCAACCTGAAATCTTCAACATTTCTTGGAGAATCTATTTAGAAGCTTTAAAAATATGAATAATATTGCATCCATCCCTTGCAAAAGTATCGTAAGAAACAGAGAAATTTCAAATCCTTCTTCTTGCCTTAATTGAAAAAGGATATTTGAATCCCCGAAAGAAAAGATGAATTGAAAGATGTTGGAAGAAGAAATGCAAACGAAGATGTGAAAAAGCTTTAACAAACTTTGAATAAATTATCCTTTTTATGAATATTATTTTACCATGTGAGTTTTTATTCCATTTAAATGAGAGTGTAATTTGCCATTATGGCATTAATTAGCTTTTAATAATAAATTTTTCCCTTTTTTGAAACTTTCTTGCTTTCTTGTTCATCAGACTTTTATTCATGAATCTCTTTTTCTTTATCTCGACACACATATGGTTGTGCTGATGTTAGCAGAAAATAATAAGAATGGCAAGTTAAGCTGAGGGTTAAAACCCTAGTAAGTAATGAAAAATAAAATTTACAGCGAATCATTAATGTTTTGCTGAAAGAATAGATTAACGTCATGGCTCATGTGGGTTGAGTTTAAGCTAATACTTTGCAAATTTATAAGTATTGATTTTGAGTTTTTAAAATCTTTGAATTTTTTTGAACTTTTAGCTTAGTTTAACACCCCTTTTCCAATGTCAATCCGAATTTTCAAACTTTAGTAGCTTTTCTAATGATTATAAATTCAAATTCATTATTCCCAACCCGTTCTAATCCAGATTAAAGTAATTCTTTACAAAACATAACCTCAAAAAAATGTAATAACAATAAAAGTTGTAAAAATTGCTATAATTCTCATTAAAATTCTATTTTTCTAATGTTCTGTAAGTGATCATAAATGGATATCGATATAAGAATATACAAAATACATGCTTCCTTACTTGCTTGCGTGATTGAGTATTTAATTCGCGTGTATTAATGTGTTTTTTTTTATATATTTGTGTATAATGTTGTGTTAAACTCTAGAAAATTGTAGAAGAATTGAAATTAGAATCTGTTCTGTAAATACCATTTAATCCTTAATTTATTTTCTCACATGAGCTTATCCATCTTCATGTCTTTATTTTAATATAATTTTTTTCTTCTTCTTGTTATTAAACATTTAAAAAAAACTTTTTTTTCTCGCATTTTATTTTGTTTTCATTATAAACTCCCGTAAATATCCGATTTAAATCTTCTTCTTATTACTTTTTATATATGAAATTGTTTCTTCTTCTTTTATGTTCAGTTTTAGCATTGATTCCGTCAATTATATGTCTATTATAATAATTATCGTGAATAAATATGTTCACCTGTTTTCCTTTCTTTTTGTTTTTTGTTGTGAATATGTTCTGTGTATTAAGTGTTTATAATCTTTACGCGTGAATAGGATTTATTTAAGATTTTAGACTGTTAATCCTCGGAAAATTCAAGGTTGACGTTGATAATTTCTTTATTGAGCAAACTTCTTATTGACTTGAAATCTAGATCATTTTTGACAGCATAGTAAGTCTTTTAATGTGGGTAATTAGTGAATCTGACATTTTAAGCTTCAAATAAGAAATCTTGGTTAGACTTCTGAATTTATGATTTTGTTGACATTTTTTGTAAGAATTTGTTGAATTTTAGCATACTTTATTAAATTTCATTGAATTGAATTTATATCAGTTTAGCAAGGGAACTTTACTTATCAAATAGGTTTATAAATTCTGTAGCGCCACAATCAGCAGAATCTACCAGCTTAATAGAGTTAGAGCATGAAAGATAATGAGTTTAAGATTGATTTTAAGGATTAATGTCGGAAAAATATCGAGATACACTCTGATACTTACAGAAAATAAAGAACCCTGTTGACATATGATAGTTATGCCTTTGACAATGACAAGACTTAGATCATAAGGAGCAGAAAGTTAAAACCAAAAAGGGTGTAACTTATGTATATGTCATTTAGCTATAAAGTCGGATAACCCCTGATAGCTCAGTGGTTGAAACATGCGACCGGAAATCAAAAGAGGTGAGTTCGATTCCCACTCTGGATCAGTTATTCGAAATTATTCTTTTTCTGTTAAAACTACAGTACTAGACCAAAAGTATATTGATCAGATTCTTTACTAGTAAAGAAACTACTTAAAACAAGAAATTAAGTCATGTAAGATTCAAAAATACTCAATCAGGTCGAAATCAGTAAGATATTGAGTCTTTGGAATAATAAATCTCCGAGACTTAAGTTTCAAAATCATCCCTAAGTACAAGACATTGTCAAAATTGCCACTCGACTGACCATTTCTGTCAAAAACTAGCCAAAATTCCAATTCAATTCCACTCATCACAAACTATGTTTTAAAAAATATATTGAAAACATGAAAGTGCTCATAAATTCAATTGATTTTGTTTATCATAAAATGAAAAAAATGAGAAGTGATGCAATTTTTTATGCACATCAAGAATCATTAAATACTTCCACATCAACAATAATTCAATGAACTTTATTTTCGTTACAAAATAGTTCAAGCTTTATTTTCAAAAAAATAAAATAAAAATGTTGGCACTTTTCCTTCTTCAACTTAAACATTTCAAAAAAAAAAGAAAATATCTGAAGAATTATAAATCCTCAATAATACTAATTCATTCTGCTCAAATAAAACTCATTGTATTCTTTTTTTTTGTGTAAAAAATTGCTTTTCTGTATGTCTGCAGTTTTAAGTTTTCCTGTTTTTTTCCTTTTGGTTATTTTTTTCATGTCAAATTAACAACATAAAAAATAATAAAAAATATCAGATATGTGAATTTACATATTTTTTTTTTGTTCACTTGACTTATTCGCTAAGGAAAATTCAAAGAAACTTCTTCTTTTTTTACTCTGTGTATCGGGTCCAATCGATATGTGTGTTCATATATAATGTGAAATTGTCTTTCTTCTTTTAAATATTTTATGTAATTCTCATTCCTATCATTTCCCAATTGTTACGTGTGTTGTTGTCCATTTCACATTGACATTGTCAGCCTGTGCATGTTTTGCTTATGTACGAAAAATAAGAAGCAGGTGTGTATTTGGGTGTAGCTTTGGTTGATAGACATTTTGCTTTTATTTAACTATGTGTGATCAACTTGAGCAGTAATGGGTAACCCACTACTGGGTGCCGCGGCACAATAGTTTGCCATGAAAAATTTATGATATCTCACGAACCGTGTGTGCGGTTTTGGTCATGGATTACCTCGTAGTGTGTCATGTCACAAAAAAGGTTGGACACTACTGATCAAGAGCAGTGATTGCCAACCTTTCTTGTATCACGGCACAACATGATTGTAAGCCATCACCAAAACCACTCACGGCATACGGTTTGTGGGATTTCCCGATTTTCTCTCGACATACTAGTGTTCCGTGGCACATGGGTTGACCATCACTGATCTAGATATAGTCTTTATTCTTTGAATGATACAAAAATTAAAGATTCTGCAATTAGCTAGCTTGGAGCTCAATTTGAACTTAATTTTGGCTTAAAACTAGCTTTAACTAGATTATTCAATTCTTCTCGATTCAATGACTCAACAGAAGATTCCTAAATACACCCCCGTTAGAGAATAATTGAATTGATTTTGAACACACAACTGCGTGACAGTGGCAATAATGTCACGGGGATAGAAAGAGTCTTCAAAGACAAAAGAGAGTGAGAGAAACGTCTACATTCATAATTTTATTTCCTTAAGTAATGCAATTACTCTAAAAGCTCTCCTTATAAATTTTTTTTGTCATCATTGCATCATTGTCATAGTAATTGTTATAGTAACAAAGAAAAAAAAAACTATAATACATTTTTTTTTTCAATTGCATCATTATAAATATTGAATGGATATAAAAAGAGAGATTGAAGAACATTGAACAAAGATGAAAAAACTTTTTTTTCTTTTTTCTACTGGTGCTGTTAAGAAGGACATTAAGGATATTTTAAAATAATACGAAGGTTCATTACTCCATCCAAAATAATGTCCACAAAAGAGTTTGAATTTATTTAATGTGGCGCTTTAACGATGTGATTCGGTGCAATGTATGAATATGCGGGTATTGGCAGGCCGGCTGTTTCCATCGAAATTCTAGAGGAAAAGAAAGAAAGAAAAAATCAAAATTAGTTTTTTTCTTGTGATTTATTTTTTTTTGATAAGTTTTTTAAAATAAAAGCAAAAAAAAATTATTGTGAATTTTCAATCTTTGTGAGTCTTATTTTCTACAGTATTTACAAGTGATAATGTTGATATTTTTACAGATTAAAGTCGGACATTTATGTACATAACCTATATATACAATTTTATGTGAAAGTTGTCATTTTTGTTATTAATTCGTTGAATTAAATCATTTGAAGGTTTAGATTAGAATGACAATCTATATTTCAACACTAGCTTCTTTTGCCTAGGATAAGATTGTCTTTGCATGAGAGTTCTAGGCAACAAATTCCAAAAAGATTCAGTATAACTTCTATCGATGGTTAGAATTGCAGCCCTTTTGGTTCTTAGTCATGCTGGCAATGATTATTTCATTATTTAATATTAACCCATTGATATAGATTCATAAGTGCTTAGAATTGCTTTACAAGCTGCCACATTTTACAAATGATTAAATCAACTCAATAATCCAGTGAATTATCAAATGCAAAAGTCCTAAAATGCCTGCATCCACATTTAAATCATTTTTAATCCTCTTAAGTTATAAATATTTATGTTAATAAAGCAATTCATTTAGTAAAATGATTTCAAACTCGAATAAAAGCAAAAAAACATTTTCAAAAAAAACTCATTACTTATAAAAAATAAATAAATTCTGACTCACAAAGAACAACTATTTTTTAAGCATATAAATATTTCATAATCATTATTTTATTCAAATTTTTATATGTTCATATTCATTTTCATCTCACAAATGCAGCTATAAAGCTTTGAGCTTTATTTTCGACAAAATAACAATAAAATGTGAGCGAGTAAGATAGAAAGATAGTTGCAAGTGCAAAAGCTCAATTTTTATATTTTTTTTTCTCTGTACAGAATCCATAAAAAAAAGTTTTTAATAACCACATGTTTTTGAATATTTCAACATGAAAAAAATACGAGGAACCAAAAAAAAAAAAAAAACTGAATATGCAATGAAATATAAAAATATGTTGTTTATATAAAGTAAGCGAAGAGCTTCATCATTTGATTTTTTTAACGTATATACAAATTTTTCACTACACTATTCAACTCTTTCTATGTCTGATTCATGGATGTAAAAAAATATTTTTTGAATGCATTTTTTAGAACGAAAATTATGAAATGAAACTTTAATGAATTTTAAGGACTTAAGCGCAGTTTTATTGTGTCTTTATGTAACTAGAGTCTAATGACGATCTATAATAAGATTCAAACTAGATTCGTAATATTCCCAACAATCAAGCTCAGAGTAAGTCTGTTTAGGGTTGCTCTATAGAAGCCTTAGCAACTGACGCTAGATTTTCAGTCTATTCCATAATAACTTGCAATTAAATTCTAAACTTTCGCAACTAATAGATTTTGGTGTCTGTGGAATCTGAGGTATAGAACCATACAGGGCCCGCCCCCCCCCCCCCCCCCTACGAAAATCTGATAATTGTTTTATTAAGTATTTATAGAGAAGAACCAGTTAATGTAGAGGAAGTAATGAAAGAAATGTCAAAATCAGCACAAAAAATTAAATTTAATGTATGAATAATGAATTAAATATTTGAACTTATGAAGAATGAATATAGATACAAAATAACGGTTTTTTAATTTTCGAAAATGGGCCCCCTTAAAAATTTTCTGGCTACGCCCCTGGAACCATATTTTTGCGATTCTACCAGTGTGAGGTTTAGGCGTCTGTGGCGCGAGTGGCTAGGCAACAGATAAGATATCTATAACCTTCTTTTGTGCGGACGTTGGTTCGATTCCCACAAGAGACTGATTGATTTGAAAAGGATTTGCACAATTCTCACGATTTACACAGATTGACTTACACATGGCTTGATAACGCCGATTCTACTCAAATTCAACTTCTCCAATCCTAGGCTAAATCTTCAATTCTTAAAAAGAACTTAGCCAGAACTTAGAGAGTAGTACGGTACCCTATGGATACTCTAATGATGCTTCAATATATTTTAAAAAGAGAATATTTGAATTTCAGTTTCATCAATATTTGTAAATTATTAAATTCAATTGCATAACTTCCTGGTAATTAATCCTCAAATTACTATGTCATATGATTTCAAAAAAGCTTTAATTTTATGTAAACAATTCAATTAATCTATCAATTGCACTAATTTAACCTATGCCACATGAAACCCCACAACTTTTTTCAAAATTCGAAATGTGTGCAGACCTCAAGCCTCTAGCTAGTACAAATGGATTAAAATAATGAATTATGACAATGCAATTTTGAAAACACGTTAAAATTCTACTGAAATTATTTCTGGATCACAATTGATCTGTAAGTTCATCGAAAAGAAGAAGAAGATTTGAGATGCTTCAAATTTCTTACACTCTTCTTAAGTTCAATATTTGTTCTTTAGTTTTAATTTAGTTTTTGTGCCTTAAACACGAATATTAAAAAGTAAGCAATCTCCCCAAACCGCCAGAATTATTACCAATTCTTTCATAAAATAGCGCTTCACAAGAAATACATAAAAAAAAAACAAGCTGAGAAGAGAGAGTTGTTCTGTCAAAAAGTAACTTCACAATTCCCTCTCCCTCATCTCCATCCTGCCAGAATTTATTTTTTACATTTCTAAGAGTTTTTTTCTCCTCCCGCTTATCATTATTTTTATGCACAAAAAAAAAGAGTTGTTGTGTACAGAAAAAAAAGGTCTTGAATTTTTAATCATTCTATGGAATATGTTGCCTTCTCTGACTCTATTCCATATAAAATATACTTATGTATGCAATATGGTACACAAATTATACACATATAAACCTCGTCTTCCTCAAATGAATTTTTTTTTCGTTCTCTTTCTTGTGTAACATTTATGAAAAAAATAAGCAACAAAGGTAAGTAAGTAGTGGAAAAAAAAATACAAGAATAAAAAATGTAAATGAAAATTGCATCATGATAACATCCGATGGCAATGAAGCGAAAAGCTGATAGATTCATGTTTGTGGCATGGTTTTATTTTTTAATGAAATGTTGGATCGTCGAGAGGAATGAGAAGGAGGTTCATTGAAGTTTGAAAGTGAGGCAAGGATGTGTGTATGCTTGTGTATATATGTGAATAATATAATAGGGAGGAAGTGAGGGGAACAGAAAAAAAAATTAATTTCACCTTCAAAATGAAAGGAACCGAAAAAATGCATTATTTATGGATGAAAGGACGAATGAACGCACGAATGAAGCATGGTAAGCTATACGAATGTTCTTCTTGCTTTTTTTTGGTTGGAATTTTTAAATTCAGGCTGCGATTTTTTTTATGGAATTATTTTCAAATCTCGATGATTTTTTCATGGTCAATTTTTTTGGTCTGGCTTGCTTGCTGTTTTATTTCTCGGAAGATTCTTAAGATCCTCATAAACCTAAGAATTTTTGGAGATTTTAATTTGACTCAAGCACAAAATTACATGGGTCTATCTTAAGAGTAACGAAAGATGCTCTTAATTGAATATGAAAATTTTTATGTGCTGAGATTATGTTGCTACTTTAGACTGGAAGTGCTTCTTGGTTTTTTTTTTTATATTTTGATTTGTTTGTTTTTTAATGAATTATGATGAAATTGTTTTTAATGTTTAAAGGCACATCACACAATATCAGTAGGATTCTGTCATTTCTTTAGCTCGAATCCTTAGATTTCTTGGTGTGAATAGCTAAAGACTAGCATTCGAACCTAATGTAATTGACTTTACTAATCCAAAAATGGATTAAATTTGGATTTTTTGGTTTAAATGTTTTAGTAATAACAAGAATTGAACCTCCAAAATCAAACTTGTCCCATCAACATCAAAAAGTTCTTTCAGCAAAGATTCGACATTAAAACCCCCAATAGACCTAGATTATCCGCCTCTTATCTCGACAGCAATGATTGCATACTAATCTACTATGAAAAAACTCTTGAATAATATTATTCATTTATTATTATTCTCATTGTGCTTACAAGAATATTCAATAAGATTAACATTGTGTTGATCTTCAGTATTAATCGATATCCTTTATTGTGTGCTTAAAACTGTATTTTTAAGGTCAAGTTGATTGATTTTTTAAAGAAAGTTTTGAATGAAAGACTCTTAGTTACAAGACATAGGCTTGACATGTGGTTGCTGAATTAGTTTGAAGTTTAAAATAAGATTTTTGGGTAGTTGCTGCTTAAGATCATGTCAGTAATTTCTAAAAATACATTTTGTGGCTTGTATTTTTGGATATTTTTAAAAAATTCCTAAAATTATTAGTTTCATTTGAGAGAAATCTGTCATAAATCGCGAATGTAAATCCACAAACTTCAGCAGTCATCAATTTAAAATTAAAATTCCCCGAAACCCAAATGCACTGCTTCCGGAAAAACAGAAAGTTTCACTCATCTGGAAAATTTCTAGAAACTGCATAAATTTGAAGGACGGTTCGTTACATGATATTGAAGCCATATTATTGCATAAAGCTCACAAAAGCTGAAAATGTTATTTTCCAGTAGCTTTATTAATTATTCAATCCATGGATGGATATCACGTCAATTAAATAATTCCTATTACTGAGTTTTGTGATGTTTACGGATGAATATTTCCAAGAAAAATACAGAATTATGCAGTCAAGTTATAGGTTGGATGTCCATTAGATTCATGAATTGAAGGTTGGTAGTTTTAGGAACAGAAGTTTGGATAGAGTGGGAAGAGTAAGAGATGCTGCATTTTTTATTTTCATGATTGGCTAGTCAAAAAACACAGCTGTGACTATTTTTAAACTAAACTGGAGTTACGTGATATTTAAGCACTTCCTTAATAGAATAAAGATGGAATTTACCCGAATGGCACAACTCGGTTAATTGAATAAAATTCCGGCACTAAGCTGGTGTGACTCTGGCATGGAGCTGGATTTAATTTGAAGCTTTTCTGATCAATTAACCGACTTGTGCTTT